TAATTAAATTCAAACCTATAGTTTTTTTTAATATAATTTTGGGACTCACAATCCCATTTTTATATTATTTTTCTCTTTTCCTCTCACGTTGCTCGGCGTTTTCTCGCAAGGGGGGATTATTTTCTTTTTCTTCAGGTATGTTCTAACTTTCCTGTTTAGATTAGCATTTAAAAATTTATTTAATTACAAAATTAATTTTATAGTTATTTTCTAAATAATATTAGCTTTCTAGTGATATGATTATTTTGTAGGATAGAGTAAATATTTTGATTAGGATTTTTCTATAGGATAGTTAATCTGATGATATGATGGATTAAAAATATAGGTTAAAATTCTTAGGGATAAAAAATATTATAGAATATTTTCTTAAGGTTGAAACTCATGTTTAAGAATTTTTGAGTTCAAATCTAGATCTATATGGTTGAATTTATGTGGAATCTGAGACGTAGGGATAAACCTATGATTATTAAATATTTATTTAAGTATGAATAGGTATTTTTGAGGTTATAGAAAGGTGATTTGAGGCTTCAGGATAATTCTAAAGTTTTTAATTTATTTTTGGATGAATTTTTAGAATATAGAAGGATGAAATTGTGATACTAGAAGTGAATTGAGGATAAAAAAAATAGTTCATTAGGGTACGAGAATTTTAGAAAAGAATTTGGAAAGTTAAATGAGGCATAAATCTTAAATTAGTGTTAATATGGATTATAGATCTAAGACTTTCTAACTCTTTAAATTAGAGTTATTTATTTTAATGTAAAATTAATATATAGTATTGTGAAATAATTATGTAGATTATATTGACAAAGATAGTGGTGAAAAAGGAGTTGTGAAGGGGAACTTGTTATTCAAGACACAAGGTAACCATTATTAATGTGTTGTGATGGGTGTGTTTGTGAATGGTTATGTGTTGTTTTGTTGTTTGGAAAAATTATGAATTATTGAAAATAAATACTGTTATATACTTCCGTGAAATCATTGCCAAGTGGGTTAAAATTTATTTTTGTTTATCATGATGAGATATTATTGTTCGGATATATTTCTGTTTGGATATTTGAATGATGCATGACTTGTCAGGGTATTTTAATGTATGGTGTTAATGGGAATTTCTGTTCGGTTAATTATTACCACGTGGTAAGCCTTCATTGGACCCAATGAGTGGCGTGTCGCTTGGTCCAACTCACCTTTGGCCGGGTGATTTGGCGTCCGAGCATGATGAAAGGAGGATATAAGGTGCAGTCATGCAAATTAAATACTTGTTCGGTTTGTTTGAAAGTATTGTTCGATTAAATATTTTGTGTGCCCACTTAGCAATCGCATGATTAGTTACATCCGCATGCATCATTACATATTAATTTTTGGTTACTGGGACTTTTAAGTCTCATTCCCCGTGGTTAACATTTTTACAGGAGCGAGTCCGGCCAAGAAAGCACCAGAGATGTAACTATGGTGTATGAGACACCATCTTTTACGTTGCCTCTTATTTTGGATTATACAATGTATCTTGTGCCAACTTAGGACATATCTTCTTTGTGAAGCATGTAAACTCTAATCCTTTTTATTAAAAGTATTTATATGACGAAGAGGATTATATCTGTCCCTCTTGATTCATGACCTGATTTAAATATCATGCCATGAGGATCCTGTCTGTCCCTCATGGTTCTAATTGTTTTTTTTTTGAGATATTTTAAGACCTGTGGTATATTGTCTTGGATGTACCATGGTAGAAATTTTTCTACCATGATAAGGGTATGATGAGGGTTCAAAAAAAAATGATTTATTGAATTAATGATTTGCGAAAAATCAGTTTGTAAATTTGAGCGTGTTACAGTTAATATTTGTGATTTTGATTAATGTTAGCTGCTTTCTTTCTTTCCTTTTTTTTAGTTTTTATGGTTATTTTTTTGTATTTGGAGACTAATGATTTTCATCGAGAATAATTTCAAAACTTTATTAGACATAATTAATTTAACAAAGTTCTTCAATTTAGGTAAAATTGTTAATGTATGCTTACAAAAAGAAGTTAAGATTCATTTATCGACAATTCAAACACTAGTAGAATTTGCTTCTCCTATGAAGGCGTTTGGTTCAACTAATCAATGGAGATATACTAGCTTTTTATAGGATCTTGAGTTTGAGTCCCACAATAAGCATTTACATTAAATAAATATGTCAAAGACATCCCCGAGTTATCTATAAAGTTGTCGTTGGTAATAACAGTCCCACACGGTGGGTGTTTAGATTAATTTGAATGGGAGATAATAATTCTTTTAGATTTTCCAAGACACACCAAGGCATGAAATTAGAAAAGAAAAGAATTTACTTCTTTGAGTGAAACAATACATACATACATACATACAGAACAAAAAAACAAAAGCCATAAATTATAACAGAGAATTTATTACAAATGTGTTTTTTTAACATTAATTACATTGTGTAATTTTACAAGTTGTAGATGCACATATCCGTTTTTTTTTTTCAGGATTTGAAGGGTTTTTTTTATATTTTATTTTCTGATAACCACTGATAGTAAAGGCTACTAAATGGATATGGATATTATGATTATATGTTGAAAGAATGATAGTTAGGTCTCAAATGTTAAATTAATGACAGTTAAATTTTTTGAAAAAATAGATTGAAAACATCAATTCAAATGATCACAAATCTAGAAGTTTTAATTATAAATAAATATTTAAGTATCAAATATAACTTGCAAAATGTAATAAAAAATTTTGTTTGTAATTATTTAAATTAATATATATAATTTAATTTATAGAAAATTTTGTTTAGGAATTTAACTATAATTAATTCACTCCTTTGACAATTCGTTCACTCTTTTTATGTTATCTGAGTCGTGGTAATTTTTTTTTGTTTTTCTTTTTAAATTAAATGATGAGCCCTGAACCGTGGAAACGTGTGTGGGCTGTTACGGATCCAGAAAAATTAATAAATGAGAGCATAATTTATACTTAAAATAAATATTAATATTTTTATAAAATAAATAATTTTAAATATTTATTAAATTTTATTAATGGTATAAGTTAATAAAATTAAATATTAAAAAAATGCATAAAACAGAACATTATAATAACATAAAATACTCTCTTTATATAAATATTTTTTTTATATCTATTAGAATGATTTTAGTTTTCATTAAATAAAATTGATATACCTCTTTTGTATGGTAGATAATTTTTTTTTGATGAAGTTTTTCATGAGCAATTTTTTTAAATTTTTTATTTTCCATTTTAGAATTATTGCTGTTTAAGTTTATTAAATACACATATATATAATTTTAAATAATGGGATAATTAAATTTTTATAAGGGTATGATTAAATTTTTTTGAAGTGATGAGAAAATTAAAATTTTTTAAGGAGGGCAACTAAAATTATTAAGGATTATTTTAAGTAATATTTTTTTGGAGGGGACAATTGATGATAAAGGTAGATACGTCCCTATGTGCGGGGCTGCTGCTGGGACGCCAACAGCCACCCAAATTAATTTCCTATAATCCTACGATGCTATTAGGATGTTAATTGTTTTGCATTTTCTATGCAGAATAAATCAACTTTCCGTGCAGAGCAATTCAAATTTAATTAAATACCTATATCAACTACTATTAAATAAAAACTACAAGTTCGTTTTTAAGTGTTAACATGCATTACATATAACTAAAATATACTAACATGCCCATCTTCAGTTTATAATCATACATCGATTCATATAATAATATAGAATATCCTTAAAAACTTTGTTTGGTCCATAATACAAGGCATTATATAGTTTTTATAATTATATTTTCAATAATATCTCTACTTTATTTATTATTTTTTTAAAAAATGATGTATTGAAGTTTCATTTAACATTATAATATGGTAATTTTGTAAGACATTAGTGAGAGTATAACTGAAAATATATTGTACAATTTTTTAAAAGATTAAAGTTTTATATAATTTTTAGAACCTCGAAGCAGTTAACAATGCTGCATATTATGGTCCATAATATGAAGTATTGTTAACTAATTTATACTTTTAAAACAAATTGCTTAAAATTTTGATTTTTTTTTAAAAATTTTCATATCTTTCTAATTGTATTGCTAGTAAAATAAATATAACATTTAACTTATTTAAAACAAGAGTACAATAAAGTGAGGATATAATTAAAAAAAATTAAAGTGTATATTTAATCCTCTAATTTTTTATAATTTTTTATTTTATGAATCTTTAATTTTATAAAGTATATTTTCAGTTCTTTAACTATAACACCATTAGTTTTAAATGATATTTTTTGTGTCAATCATTATTATTATTTTTTAAAAATTATATTTAATATATCAATATTTGAGTATGTTTTGTCAATATAAATTTTTTTTATGATAAAACTAAAGGTGTTAAAGTTAAATAATCAAAAATATTTTATAAAATTAATGAATCAAATTAAAATTTTATATAAAATTTAAAAACTAAATTACCGAATAGAGTATGATAGATTTTTCTTAAACGAAAATTTGACTAGGTCTCTGCGGCACAATCACGTGTGGAGAGTGTGACATGTGTGGGGGAAAAATGAAAATCTATAGAATTAAAAGATAATAATAATTACATGCTAAAACATTAAATTAATAACAGTTAAGTCCTTAACAAAAATTTTAAAAAAAATTATAAATATTAATTTAAATAAATAGATTTTGATAAAATTTAAGAATTATATTTGGAACTTAAATATATATCTGCACTAAAAAAAAATTATATACGCAATAATTGAAACTTTTGATTTTCCAGGATTTAAATTAATATTTGCAGCTTAATTTTTTAAAAAATTTTGGTGAGATCTAATTATCATTAATTTTAAGTCTTGGGACTTAACAGTCATTCTCCAACGTACCAAGTTTTTGCTATAAAAGGAGGACTAGTACCCCCAACTTGGAGGCAAAACAAATAGTACCTTCACACAAATGGCCATCAAAATGAATTCGGTGTTTGTGTTTGTGTTCGTCATGAAGCTAATTGCCATCGCAAGCCTCGTCTCAGTGGCATCAGCCGCTTCTGGAACTGCCACCTTTTACAATGTATATGTTCGTAAGTATCCCTTTGAATCACCGTCATTAATTAAGATGAATTACACATCCAGTCTCACATACACCTGATCTCTCCATATATACGTGTCTAAGAATTTGCATATCTTTATTATACATGATGGAATGGTTGTTTTGTTTGGAAATTAAATGATCATCAGGAGACTAGAAAGAGTTTCTGATTGGAACAAGAACGTGAGAATTAGAATACCACTGGATTCTAATAAACCTGTGTGCTAATTAATTTTGTTGTACTGATTCTGTTTTTGTCATTTAAAGCCAGTTAATTATGTTGAAAACAAACTTGTAGTTGGTTTCATTATTGCAGCATCTGCATGCTATGGATACCAAGACAAGGGAACTATGATAGCAGCAGCGGGTGACTCGATCTGGAACAACGGAGCTGCATGTGGAAGAAGGTACAGGGTCAGGTGACTGGTGCTACCAACCAAGGTGTGCCTCAACCTTGCCGAAGTGGAACTGTCACCGTCACGATTGTCGATCGCTGCCCTTCTCCGGGATGCCATGCCACCATTGATCTCTCCCAAGAAGCTTTCTCTAAAATTGCTAACCCTGACGCGGGAAAAATCAAAATTGAATACACCCCGTAATTAAATTAAAACTCTCTCTTCTATTCTAATATCCATCTGTCTCTCCTAGTTTCTTTTGTTATTTCTTTTCCATTAAACAGCTGCTTCTACGCGCCTAATTCTCTGGCATCAAACAATGCAACACACACAATTCCTGTTGTAATTAAGACAGTCCCATTTTGGGATTTAAACATGTACTTTTCCATATCCTAAACAAGATCAGGCTCTAGGGGTGAAAATAGATCATAGGCCAAGTTAGGTTTGATCAAATAGATTTGAGCCTAACTTAAAGGTTATATAAGATTTTTTTTTTTTATAGCTCAAGTTTGAGCTTATATAAAACTTGACCTGATTTAGAAGTTTTAAAAGTTTCATAAGCTTTAGGAACCTACATATGCACAATTTGATTCATCAACTATATACAATATATAATGAGCAAGAGGACTTATCATGCATAATATAATTTAACAATGTAGCAATGACATTAAATCAAATACATAATAAGGTTTCTCTGCTATCACTAACCCTGACACAAGAAAAATCACCATTGAATACACCCAGTAATTAAATTGTTCTCTTTTTATTTCAATATCCATCATTATCTCGTAGTTTCTTTTGTTATTCCTTTTCAAGTTATATATTGAGTTACCACTGACTTTACTTAATTTGGTGGATTTTTAGGGTATGAGGATTCTGGGAGAGAATTAATAAAACTGTATCAAGGAACATGTCGATCGAGTTAATGGTGAATAAAACGTATTTGAGATGTACTCATGTGTACGTCATGGAAAAATAGCTACAGTTGATTTTCCATGAATTATTTGTGTCAGCTGTCAAGTGTTTCTGTGTCTTTTACGTTTTAATAAAATATATTTATGGTTTTATATATCCTCTCCCGATCGAATATTAGATCTCTTTCCACTCAAACTAATCAGATTTACTTTCTTCCTCTAATTGGTCGAAACAAAGCAACAGTGAACAATAAGAAGGAAGCATAAGTTATAATAGGGAATTAATTAGAATCAATTTCCTGTTTAAATATTTCTATGAAAAGGAAATGGTATTTTAATTTGTCAAGGTTAACGGCCTAAATTCACTCACTCAGTAAATACCTTACTTATAATTATTGAATATCATCAACACTTAAAAATTATCAAATTATATTTCTCTCAAAAAATTTAGAACAATCATATAACATCACTCATTACACCGCCCCGCCGTCCAAAAATTCAGAACAGCCATTGATATGATTTGCAATATGGAATGAGAGGTGAGATTTAATGCTTTCAAATTGAAGTATCATATAATAAAATCTTTAATAGCCATTCATCTAAATCAATGCGTGCTACATTGGACACTCACTAAAGTAGATTTGTGCCAACTCACTTGATCATAATCCATTTAGTTGTTGGGTGTAGAAAGAAAGGAAATCAGACCAGATGAGATGAAGAGAATATTGGAAGCAGACGATCAGATCAAATTGATAAAAATCATGAGTGTTATTTTGTATGTGAGAGAGAGAGAGAATCAAAATCAAGCGAATATTATGACATACATGCTATAATCAATGAAGTCGTAACCGGTAATAATCATCTCTAGGAGGATAATGCCATTGCTGGTTTCCAAAGGACGGACTCAAGAATACTGATGTTCAAATTAAAGCAGTTGAGAAGGCTTATCCATCTATGTTTTGTTTCAGATCAGCAATAAGTGTCTAATTAATTTTCTACTCCGTAAGAAAACTAAAAAGTGACTAGTAAATTCTGGGGATTTTTACTTCTAACTAAATCCATTAATTCCACATGTGAAATCCTAAGAGTAAATTGAAAATTAAATTGTGATCACTTAGAAAATTTTATAAATATATAGGTGTTTGTGGTGAACAACAAATACCAGGCGTGCTAGAAATACTGAGTCTCAGTTGATAACAAAAGGGTCCTGAGCTCCCTTATCATAGTTTACTCAGATGTAAAAAAATACAAGGCTTTGGTAGAACAATTGTTCGACTGTTATTGAAATGTGAAAAGATTACAGACCTAAAACTGAAAACTAAATAGGGCTAACAAATGTAAAATTACAAGTCTATGATTGAGTGTTGACTAGTTTTTTCTGTATTTTCTTCTTCTATTTATAGCGTCAGAGTAGCGGTAGCCTCTTCTTTGAAACCTAACACGTTTTCCTGGAGAATTGGGGATCTCGCGAAACTCATAGCACAGTCTTTATTTCATGCTCTTCATTTTGCTCACCAGCCCGTTTCCTCGAGATATATTTGGGCAACTCATAGCACATTCTTAAAATTGTGTCTTTGTGCCAACAGTATAACATTTGCAGTTGATAGGATTTCGGCATGTTTACTTATTAGGGCCTTTATTGAGTCTCGGGGTCAGCCCTTTTTGTTTATATTGGACCTGACGCTTCAATTACTCTGCCCAACTAGCCTTGTGACCTATTTGAGGGACGTTTCATATTTAGTCCAAACAATACCCCCCACATACCAATGGCTAATAACATAAGCCACGTGGCACATTTGAAAAAATTGAAACGTTGATTTGTTTCTGAGTGCCCTTTACTAATATAAACTCATTTCTTTTTCTGATCACTTTTCTTGCCTTTTTTGCCGTTTCTTAAACCTCAAGCATTCACTCTTCTGCATTCCTCTTACCTTAGCTCTCTAATGGCTTCCTCTGCTTCTATTGCTTCTTCTATTGCCGCTCTATCTTCCACCTCCGCTGGGAGTCTACCTAATTCTCGGGCGACTATCCGAAATCCCATTACCTACTTAGCGGGTGTGTGACGGTACATATTCAGTGATTTAAAAATCCTTTTTCCCCTTGATTGGTTCCCCATTCTAATAGTTGTTCATTTCTTTATAAGAGGATTTGTCATTCCATGAATCGGTGGCTTTTTGGTAAGTTTCTCGCTTCTCATGTTTAGCCCTTCTATTTTATTGGAGAAGTATGTTAACTTTGATTTGTTTTTCTTTTTAGTACTTCTCCTTAGAGCTTTCAAATCTCCAATAAAAGCGACGTTAAGTATCTAACCATCTCTCCTGACCTGTTTGAAGTAACAGCCCTTATTCAGCCAAATCTATGGCCATTGATCTCCATTCACAACTTGGTCTTAGCCTAGACTACTTTACCCTTCCCTGAATCATCCTATAGAAAACTCAGGAACTGGCCCCGATCTCCTCATGCTTAGGTCAACTAGGTGAGGCACTTGAAGTTAGAGTATTGGCCTCAATGGAAGGAGATGGATCTATATGACCTAATCTAACTATCCCTGGTTGATGTTGATGTCCCCGTCGAGCTTCTGACAGCCCTCCTAAGCTTCTGGGCTTAGGTTGTAATGCCTTCATTTTCGAGCTTAGCCCTATGTCCTTATGCTATAAGACATTTTCATGTTCCTAGGGTTGCCCATCACCAGGGAGGAAAAATTTTATGTGATCTCCGAGAAGTATGACTCCTATATCGCCTTCCCAGCTGACTTGGAGAGCAAGATTAGGAGTACAGGCTCCTACATGAAGATTATGGAGTTATTCTATGAAAAGCTAGCCATTAAGCCTGTTACTGCCCGGAGCATCTTGTCTTCATATGGATCCTATTGAGCCAATGAATCCTAGCCCTGAGGGAAGGGAAGCCCATGTAGCTGCACTTAAGGATCACCTAATCCTTACTCTACAGTAATCAAATAGCCTTAGGGATGATGTTTCTATGCTGCTTTCTGTGACGGTATGAGGGAGTCGCTTATGAAGAAACCTTTCAGCAACTTCCATGGGCCCGTTTAGTTTCTAAAGCTATGGACGATGGCCTACTTTTCACTTCTGTAGTGAGAGCCTTTCCTAAATGATTCCTGTACCAACCACCCCTTTACTTGTCTCCTGGGTAGTCATTCACTAATTAACTTGAAGAACTTCTTTGAGTTCTTTAATCAGCAAAGCTAGTCTTTAGGAAGGACGTTAAAGGCCTTCAATATTCCAAACCACCGCCTCCCCACCTATTACAAGCACATGGTGGACTGGAAGAACAAGCCCGCCAAGCTATTAAGGGATAAGGTTTTCCTTTCAACCATAACTCTCAAGAAGATGTGGTTGTCATACATTAGCTCTTCCTCTAAGTCTTTAAGGTCTACTTGGAGTCCTATCATCCTTAATTGGTGGTGAGCCAATTGGATTGAGTTAGTATATCCCTCGAGACCTATCCCCCTAAATCATGTGGAGCTGCTGGATAGGGAGGCTATTGACTAGATAGCCATTCTACACATCGCTTAAAGGCAGTGCAAGGTAAAACTTATAGATAGAAATGCCTGGCTTTGCTTTAATAAATGGTGGCCCCAGTGCTTTGGGCGTATAATAAAGAGCCACACCAGTAAGTATCACCTCTTGGGTTTGTCTTAGTTTTCTTTCTTTTACCTCATACCCAAGTCTAATCTATTTTTATTTTTATAGGTTGTGATTAAATGCAATTTCACGTGTCATGATGTTATTGAGGGGAAATATTGATGCCCTCGTTGCTTTTAAGACCTAGATGGCCCCCTCGCTGAGGATCATGGTCTAAGGGATGGAGCAAGATAACACCTCATCCTAAGTCTTAGCCCCCTCGATCTTTAGAAAGTCTGGGGCTAAGAGATCTCTTTAAGTCGTCCCAATAAAGGAGATGGTCTTGACAAAAGGAACCAGGCTCCATCTCCTTCTCCCGATGCTAAGAGGAGGAAGAAGACAATGCCTCTTTCCCTCAACCAACCTTCCTCTACTCCGCTCCTAGCTGGCCCCACTTCTCAGAAGGGAAAGCACACGTATAAGAGCCAATAGACTATATCCTATTAGCAAATTCTGATGACGACAGGGTGAGTCCTTTTCAACATAGAGAAATAAAGACCCAACCCCTAGATCCCTAAGTGTTCACTTCCCCTACCTCTGCCAATCCTAAACCAATACCTATAGATCCAACTAAAGTTGCTTAGGAGGTAGCTCGGGAGGTGACGGAGCATGCTAAAGATCTGGGAGCTTCTATGTCTACTATAGC